TGCTCCCCTACCCATCCCCATTATAGATTAGCATCCTCATATCAGAGTAAACATTTGACATTTGTTTTTTTGGGATTGGCTAATTTCACTTAGCATTATATTCTCCAACTCCATTCATTTACCTGCAAATGCCATGATTTTATTCTCTTTTAATGCTGAGTAATGTTCCATTATGTGTATATACCACATTTTTTAAATCCATTCATCTACTGAAAGGCATCTAGGTTGGTTCCACAATTTAGCTATTGTGAATTGATGTTTTGCTTCTATTATCTTTCTCCCTGTGCTGCTTTTCTCCCTTTCTCTCAGTTGAAGTTCACAGATCTAGGGACTTATGTAAATGCTGGAGACAAGAGTGATTAGTAAGTACTCAGGTACTGGAATCAGACATGGACCTTGAGTTTACGTTCAAGCAATATCTTTTTTTGGCTGCATTGACCTTAAGCAAGTCACTGAGCTTTTAAGCCTGTTTTTTTATCCAGAGCAGGTGAATTTTAATAGCAACCACCTCCGAGTTTTTAATGAGGATTTAATGGCATGTAGTAAGTTCCAATAATTTTTTTAACTATTATAATCTTTTATCCCTTGGGAATATAACTTGATTAGGCATAATGTAAAGAAAGCCAAAATACAAATTGCTTACCTTAACAAAAAGTTGAGATGACTCCAGGGGTCCATAAAGAACTATCAAATAGAAGAGACATCTTCTGGGCATAATGGTGCATGGCTGTAATACCAGCTACTCAAGAGGCTGAGTCAGGAGGGTTGCAAGTTCAATAGCCCCTCCTGGGTAACTTATCGAGACCTTATCTCAAAGATTAAATATTAAAGGGGGAGGCTGTGGCTGTTTAAAAAAAAAAAAAAAAAACCAGTGGTAGAGCCCTCTGGTTCAATCCCTAATAGTACAAACCAATCAACCAACAAAGAAGTCTGTTGATAAGGCAGAAAAAAGATTTGTSTAGGAGTGTGACTTTATGAGTATCTACATATGCTTTTGTGGACATATGTATATATAAAGTTTTTAATACCTATATCTATATTGCATTAGGTCTATGAAGGGAAAGGGTAGGGGGGATGTTTAGAACTTAACCATAATTAGGAGGCAAGATGAAAAAGAAGGTAGGTTTTTGGGGTTTGATTGTTTTTTTACTACAATGGGGCATATTTCTTTGTAAAACCTGCAAGCCAACTTTTTATAAGTCAGTTCATGTACTGAGAAAGCTCATTTAAGAAACCCTATTTATAAATTTGTTTTCAAAGCAAATCTTTGTTTCCCAACTCCCTTTCTGTGTTAGAAACTAACTTTTCTAACATTATAGCAATGTTTCCTAAGAAATGCCAGTTTTCTAGGGAGGATACATTGCATATGATTATCTTAACAATTCAAAATCAAAGTGCTGTATCAAGTGAAAGGGCATAACTTTGTTTTAATATTTTAGGGAAATTAAGGCAGTTACTATAAGGGTTGAATTTGTTGTTCTGTGATTTTTTTAACTAAATCCCATGCTTATGATATTATATTATTGTCTGGAGAAGTAAATTTTAATTTCAATCTGTAATTTTAAAAGTTTATTTTTTAAAAACAAACAATATGTGTTCAAAGTACAAAATTCCAAAGACACATAGTGTAAGCATCAACAAATGATGGTCTTTGCCACCTAGTTGCTCTCTTAAAGACAGTCCTTTTCTTTATCTCAGATTTAATGTGACTGCTTATTTCAGGTTTCCATTAGAGTAGAGGAGGCAGTTCACTAACTAGGAGGACTTGAAGCACTTCCTCATGGCCTGTCTCAGGACATTTCTGGAAACATAACTGTCTGGATGTGAAGATTAGGAGATAAAAGTGAGAGCTAGAATGGAAAGAATCTCTAGGAATTTTAGAGGAGCAGAGGTTTGGCACAGGGCAGGAGGGCATCCCCTCTAGCCTGTCACTGACACAGGCAGTGACTGACATTGATCACTGTTCTCTTCATTATCTTTGCTCAACAGTTTAATCTTTTGATCTGATCTTTCTATATCTTCAAGTAGGACTGACTTTTATCTCTCTTGTTTTAATATGACGATAAGTGAAGTCGCCTATTTATTTATTTATTTATTGAGARAGAATTTCAATATTTTTCAGTTTTCTGCAGATACAACATCTTTGTTTGTATGTGGTGCTGAGGATTGAACCTGGGCCGCACACATGCCAGGCAAGCGCGCTACCGCTTGAGCCACATCCCCAGTCCGAAGTTGCCTATTTAAACAATCAGAACTTATACTTCATTAGCTTCATTATATACTCAGTTTAATTTCCAGTTGCCGATGATAACAGAGGAATTTTAATTGCTCATTCTGTTTAGCATCCTTCTGTTCTATTCTTGTTCTTTTTAGAAATTCCAATTCTTGCCTTTTCTTTTTTGTTTTCTATTATAGGGCCTTTTTATTTAGCTTAAAAGAAAAAAAAACAAAAGAATTTCACTAGCAGAAATGGTAATTGTAGTAGGAGGCTTATTTTAGACAACTGGAAATCAAGATTGGGCATGTATTGGCAGCAGTAGATCAGAATAGGCATTTGATCTTCCAATATGACATTCTGATTTTTTACACTAAAATAAGATTAATCGACTTAATTAAGCATGAGAAATAAAATATCTTTTCCTGCTCATGAAATACACAGAGGGGATTATTTCAGTCTTCTTATGCCTTTTAGTTTTCACATAATCTTTTACTAAGTGGGTCTGAGATTTTTATCTTGGAATCTTTGTTCTAACCACCATATTACAGTTCAAGATTATTCTATTTATGCCGTCATTATCTTTTACATAATAATGGGTAGTATCATAAGTGTATTATTTGTTAAATTCTCTTCATTTAACTTTAAGGCAAAATCATATAGTAGRATAATCTTCAAGCTATGCATATAATGTAGATATTAAAACCAGTAGCTAAATTATAGCCACTACGTTTTTTGAAGCTAATGAACTATAAGTTCTGATTGTTTCTAAACTCCATTTCTCAAGGTTTTTTTAAATTTTGTTTTCCCCCTTTGGTACAAGGGATTGAACTCAAGATCACTCAACCACTGAGCAGCCACATCCCCAGCCCTTTTTTATATTTTATTTAGAGACCAGGGTGTCACTAATTTGCTGAGGCTGGCTTTGAACTCTGGATCCTCCTGCCTCAGCCTCCCAGGTTGCTGGGATTACAGGCGTGTCCCACTGTGCCTGGCTGGGTTGACATTTTTTGAGAATAATTTATATATATATATATATATTTGCTGAAGTTGTCATGTCATTTAAAAATTTTTTTTTAGTTGTAGATGGACACAATACCTTTATTTATTTTTTAGTGCCTCACACATGCAAGGCAAGCGCTCTACCACTGAGCCACAACCCCAGCCCTGTCGTGTCATTATACTTGAGCAGATGTATATCCAGCTTCACCTTGTTAATCTTTAGTAACACTGGATTCTTACTGCAAAACATTTTAAAATTCGCTTATTCATGGCTGTAGGATAATATTTTTGTGAGATTTTGAGTGTTTTTTTAATTTTTAATAACTAGATGTTCATTGATTATAGATTTTTAGTTATATTAGAAATAATCTAATTTTGATAGTGTTGACTTCATCTTGTAACTACATAATTCACAAATTTGAGTTCAGATGAAGGTGTATTTTCTTATCTAGGATAGCAATTTTTAATTTACTGTACTCTGAAACAAGGATATATTTGGAATACTGTTCATTGAGTCTACAGTTTCATTGGTTATAAGATACATGATTATTTTTTGTGTTACTAGAAAAGAAAAGTGTTTTCTTTCTTTTGTTTTTCTCTTATGTTATTAGAGATTGAACCCATGGCCTCACATATGCTAGGCAAGCTCTCTACCATTGAGCTAAATCCCCACCCTGAAAAGTTTTCTCTTAAACTGCCAGGCCATTGATTGTAAAATGCATACCAATTTCAGAGATCTTAATGTGAAAAACTATAACTTATACTTAATGAACTATGGAAGTATAACCATCTTAAATTTGTATAAGACTATCTAAAGCACTTCTACATATGTCATTTGATTTTTTTATTCTCAAACTTAATTAACCTATGAGATGGATTCAGTTTTCCCTAGTTTTCAGCCAAGGAAACCAAATCTTCAGAGTTATATATTCTCTTAGCAGCTGGTCTCAAGTCCACCTTTTCCTATTACAAGACTTATACTATGATCAACACTATCACCTCCTCATTATGCATACACATCTATAAAATAATTTGGTCTGAGCCAAGTGTGGTGGTGTATATCTGTAATCCTAGTGACTTGGGAGGCTAAAGTAGGGAGATCATTAATTTTCAAAGCCAGTGTTAGCAATTTAGCGAGACCTTAAGTAACTTGGTGAGACCCTCTCAAAATAAAAATAAAAAGAGGGTTGAGGTTATGGCTCAGCAATAGAGCGCTCGCCTAGTTCATGGGAGGCCCTGGGTTTGATCCTTAGCACACATAGAAATAAACAAATAAAACAGGGGTATTGTGTCCAACTACAACTAAAAAATAAATATATTTAGAAAAAAGGGGGAGCTAGGAATGTGACTTGGTGACAAAGCACCCTGAGTTCAATCTCCAATACCAAAAAAAAAATTGACCTAGATTTTCCCATTATTTGATATATATATTTCTTATTTAGACTTCATTTTTATGGCTGTTAGTATGTCTTTATAATTTGAGTACTATTAGAATAGTTAATGTACATTTTTATAATAAAACATGTGGACTCTGCTAATAGATATAATTCTGGATTGCCTTGACCACTAGGAAGCTATATATATTATTACTGGTGTCTTATATATGTTTTAAAAATATATATTAAAAATATATTTAAAAATATGTATATTTGCCTGACTAGGTAAAATGTCCAGGAATGGTTATGAGTTGAGATCTATAAAGTGATCCAGCAAAGGTTGAATAAGTGTTGGACATCATTGTGCTGTTCTGGGTGCATCAAGGTCATATCTGTTTGTTTCCCAGGTGGTGGCTAATGCTGTGGCAGCATTATCTGAAATCAGTGAGTCTCACCCAAACAGCAACTTACTTGATCTGAATCCTCAGAACATTAATAAGCTGCTGACAGCTCTAAATGAGTGCACAGAATGGGGCCAGATTTTCATCCTGGACTGCCTGTCTAATTACAACCCTAAAGATGATCGGGAAGCTCAGAGGTCAGTCTGTTTTCCTGGATAATAGCTAAGAGTCTTGCCAGATTCAATAAGTTATAGTTTCTACTGTTAGAATCRTAGTCTTTATGATTGAGGAAATTGAGGGACATGTGGGGTAGACATTGTTATCCTCAAAACATTTTCTCACTGAATTCAGGAACATTCTAGGTTGTGGAGTAAACCATGCCAAAAATAACACTTTCTAAGAAATGTATGCTTTTCATTTCTTATTTGAGCAGTACCTTTGTTAAACCTCCCTCATTGTCTCCCATGTCTTAGTTCCTAGCCATTTGGCAAATAAAAGGTTATTGAATGTTTGCAGTGATAACACTTTTCATTCTGATACATAGTAAGTGACTTCATACTRTAGTTATATAACTGAACTATACCTATAATTTAGTACTAGAAAAAGCATGCTAAAGTTAGCAAAATATATGCTGCCTCCCATTACCTATAGAAATCATATCAGTCTGAATTTGGAGATTTTGGAAATCACATCTTGATCTTTTTAGCCCTTTACTTCCTTAGTGTTACAGATTTTCCTTTACTGTTAGAAATGACTACTGAATTCATCTACACATACATATTTTTTATTTATCACCAATTTTTATTGAGCATTTTGTGTATGTAGGCAATGTACTAGGCAGATACTTCTGAAGAAACATTGGCTCTTCATTAAAGTTGACATTTTAATTATGTTAAATAAGAACCTTCCTTGTTTGGCTGAAACTGATTTCCAAGCTATTAGAATGTAAACACTCTTCAGTTCACCAGGAAATTATTCCCTATGGACTTAACTAACACCTCCAATATTTTTCTTCCATCACTGAAAGTACAAAATGTGGAAATAACTTTACTTAGAATTTTATTTTTTGTTGGTTATTGACATTAACACTCATCCATGCATTCACTCAGTAAATATTCAGCCCATGCTGTATGATAGGTACTCTGTAGGCTCCAAGGATACAGCAGTGAACAGACAAAACTCAGGATCCTCATGGAGGATTTATTCTGAGGGATGGGTGTAGGAGTATGTATAATATGCATAATATGATACAATATGTAATATGTCAGATGGTGATAGGTGCTAGCAAGTAAAACAAAGAAAGGAAAAGATTAAGAAATGCTAGGCATTTGGAGGTGAGGGATTGTAGTTTTTAAGAAGAGTAGTCAGAGAAGGCTTACTGAGAAGGTGATATCAGTAAGGTGAGGAATCAGCCAAGTAGGTATAGGAGAGAATAACATAGCCTGCATATCTTGTATTCTTAATATAGATAGTAAGCTAAGGAAAGTTATATTGTCCAGAACTATCAAAAATAGATTAGTTCCTGAGAACACTGCATAGATAATTAAATATCCAATATTTCATGAGGCATCTATGGATAGGTGGCAGGGACTAGGAGAAGGGGAAGAAGTTGGGAGAATATTACAATGATGTTCTGATATTTAAAAAAAAATTCAGAACTTTTCTTATTATCCTGAGGCATGAGTTGGGTAGTTTTTCTTGCCAACTCACTTCTCTCCTCTATCTTACAGTGAAACCTTAAATCACAAGTGGGTTGTTGTCTCTTACTACGAAATAACTCKCAGAATGCTTAATTTGACTTCTTATAGGTTGAGTAGAAATGGGCTGTGAGGCAGGGAGCCCTAACATAATATGGGGAGACAAAAGAGGACTATAAAACCAGAAGGTAAATGGCATGAGCTCAAGTGTTTGGGGTATCACTAATTTCCTTCCAGTTTGAACATTCCCTGTTGCTGGTTTCCTGATGTCTTCTGATATCCCTGCTCTGCCTGTAGTTTTCTGGGAATGAAGCTTCTGCAGTGTTGGATCCCCATTTGACTAAGCATGGAGATTTGACTTTTCTAACTGATTCTTTAATTTCTTGATACCTGGGCCATGGGACTCTGAGCATTACCTCATAAAATGGATTGAGCAAAGAAATTACAACCTAAGGTATTAATTTTCCTTTTCTGCCCTCAGCATCTGTGAGCGGGTAACTCCCCGGCTGTCCCATGCCAACTCAGCCGTGGTGCTTTCAGCGGTGAAAGTCCTAATGAAGTTTCTAGAGTTGTTACCCAAGGATTCTGACTACTATAATATGCTGCTGAAGAAGTTAGCTCCTCCACTTGTCACTTTGCTATCTGGGGAGCCAGAAGTGCAATATGTTGCCCTGAGGAACATCAACCTAATTGTCCAAAAAAGGTTGGAAATAGTGAATTGGTGATTAAAGTGTTTGTAATTTTGAAATAAGTTTAATATCAATATTTGATAGGTCATTGTTAATCTTTTTTTAAATTTATGAAAATGTTATATAGCAGAACAACAGGGTTTGATTCTAGCATTGCAAAGAAAAAGTAGAGGAGTATAGAGGAAGTTTGTAATTTTTTTTTTCCTGGGTGGTGGAATGGGAAGAGGTACAGATTTAATACAGACTCAGAAGGATATATCAATAAATATGTGCCTTTACCTCCCCTTTTTGTGTTTATGTGTTCCACAGGCCTGAAATCTTAAAGCAGGAAATAAAAGTCTTCTTTGTAAAGTACAATGATCCCATCTATGTTAAATTAGAGAAACTGGACATTATGATTCGTCTGGCATCCCAAGCCAACATTGCTCAGGTCAGACTTTAAGTAGTCTCAAATGTATGATGACTTAGACCTTAAGGTCTGGTGACTTAGAGCTTAAGGTCTGGCCTTCAGAAGAAGTGAGGTTGCTATTTTAGAATCCTTATTTATTACCTACTTCCTCAATATTTGACAGGTTCTGGCAGAACTGAAAGAATATGCCACTGAGGTAGATGTGGACTTTGTTCGAAAAGCTGTGCGGGCCATTGGACGATGTGCCATCAAGGTGGAGGTATGTGTCCAGTGGGAATTGAAATCACAAATTTTGTGTTTCTGAGTGTTTTCATTCCTCTCTTTAAAATATATTTTTTAACAATTATTATTATTTTTTTAGTTGTACATGGACATAATACCTTTTATTTATTTTTATGTGATATACTGAGAATCGAACCCAGTGCCTCATGTGTGCTAGGCAAATGCTGTAACCCAGTCCCTCTTTGAAATATATTTTTAAAGTTTATCAAAATAAGAAAGAACATAGTTAGTAGATTAAAGGTTTGTTTCTTTTTCTTTTCAGTACTAGGGACTGAAATCAGGGGTGCTTTGCTGCTGAATACTCTGCAGCTTAGCAAGACTCTTTCTCAAAATAAAAAATAAAAAGTGTTAGGGATGTAGCTCAGTTGTAAAGCCCCTGGATTTAATCCCCAAATCCCCAGTACCCCAGAAAGAAATTAAAAAAAAAAAAACTCAACATGAATTTTTCTTTATTCATTTTATTATTTTTATATTTTGATAGTAAGGATTGAACTCAGGCATGCTTAACCACTGAGCCACATCCTCAGCCCTTTTTATATTTAATTTAGAGATAGGGTCTCACWAAATTGTTTAGAGCCTTGCTAAGTTGTTGAGGCTAGCCTCCCAAGATGCTGGGATTACAAGTGTGTGCCACCACAGGAAATAACAGTCGTCTTTTTTTTTTTTTTAATTTTGAGAAAGGGTCTCCCTGAGTTACCAACTTTGTGCTCAAACTTGCTGTATTCCTGCCTCAGCTTCCTGAATTGCTGGGATTACAGGTGTGCTACCTAGCATTTTTATTACATTTTTGCTTGGGGTAGTTTAAATTATTATAGGACTTTTAGAAGATTTTATTAAGGAAATATTCTGTTTCTCTTATCTCCTTGATGTCCCTCCCCGTTCAAGGGTGAGAGAGGTACTATTTTATTTTAATGCAGCAGATATCATCCAACTAGAATGAAGGCTCTTTTTTTTTTGTTATTGAGGATTAAATCCCTGGGGCACTTTACCRAACAGGTATATCCCTAGTCCATTTTATTTTGAACTGAAGTCTAAGTTGCCTAGACTGGCAACTTGTAATCTTTCTGCCTCAGCTTCCCAGSCTGCTGGGATTATAGTTGTGTACTACCATGTCTAGCAAGATGAGGTTCTTTTAAAAAATATTGTTATGCTGGGTGCCGTGGCACATGACTGTAATCCCAGCTACTTTGGAGGCTGGGGCAAGAGGATCATAAATTCGAAGTCAGCCTGAGCAAATTTAGGGAGATTCCATCTCAAAAATATAAAGGTCTGAGGATGTGACTAAATGGAAGAGCACTCCTGGGTTCAAGTCCCAGTATCTCAAATACAAGCAAAAAATATTGTCACAATAAAATTGACATTCCCGAAAACTAAAAATAATTCTTAATCTTATTGAATGACCAGCTCATGTTTAATTTCCCCTAATTAGCATCAGACTGTCTTTTACATTTGGCTTGTTCAAATCAAAATCTAAGCAAGGTCCACACCTTACATTGGGTTAATATGTCTTTTAAGTCTTTTATTTACTTATTTTGGTGTCCCTTTTGAGGAATTATTACTTATTGAAGGCTCACAGAATTTCCCAGAGGCTGAATTTGGTTTGTTATATATTAGTGATTTTTTTCGATCTCATTTCTCTATCCCCTTAAAATATTTAAATCTAGAGGCTTGGTAAAATTCATATTGAGTTTTTTTGTTTGTTTCTTTTTGGGATACTGGGGATTTGGGGATTGAACCCAGGGGCTTTACCACTGAGCTACATCCCCAATCCTTTATATTTTTTATTTTGAGAAGGGTCTTGCTAAGATGCCTAGGGCCTCACTGAGTTGCTGAGGATGGCCTCAAACCTGTGGTACTTCTGTTTTAGCCTCCTGATTTCCTGGGATTACAGGTGTGTGCCTAGACATGTTAAGGGTTTTTGACCAGAACACTTCTTAGGTGATGCTGTATACTTCCTTTGGTGTCTCATTAGGAATCACATTGTGGGTGATCCATAAAACGTTTGTAACGTTTGATAGATTGGTCTTTAATTTTTAGGATATGTGTTGAAATTGTTTTCTTTCTTTCTTTCATTCTTTCTTTTTTAATGGTGCTGGGGATTGAACCCAGGGCCTTATGCATGCAAGGCAAGCATTCTACCAACTGAGCTATATCCCCAGCCCTGACACTGTTTTCTTTAAACCTATCACTTAGCCAGGCACAGTAATGCATGCCTGTAATCCCAGCAGCTCAGGAGGCTGAGACAGGAGGATTGCGAGTTCAAACCTGGCCTCAGCAATTTAGCGAGACTCTAAGCAACTCAGTGA